GTGTTTGAGAAAAAAGTGATTCTGAACAAGTAAAAGTTGATAGTGTTTGGTAAAATAAGTACTTTTTGTGTAATAGAAAAAGTGAGAAGCAGTTTAAACCACCTTCCACCTGCTTCCAGCTTTTAACTTTTAAGTGATTAATTTAAGCAGAAGCTATCATTTGAAAACACTCTTTTCAGCTTTTTTAAAACCAAAAGTTGAAATGCGGTTTAAGCAATTGCAAACGCTCCTTTATATTCCTAAAGAGTGTGTTTAAGTTATCGTGAATATGCACACGAATAACGGATGCAGTTTTGCTCATCCGTGATGCACCTTCACTTGCAGTGACAGAGGTGCACGGCAGCACGAGAATAGGTAGGTGTATAGTTGTACACATCTGTATTACACCTTCAAGCTCAAAATGATGTACATTTGTGTCCTTCAAGCTCAAAATGATGTACATTTGTGTACTCAAAATGTAATATTTTTAGCTATTACTACGTAGATGTTAACTCTGGTGTTTCTTATTCATTTGCATTTTCCACGAGAATGATGATTTTTTATTTGAAATCCCACCGGCATATACTACGTACTATGTGTCTATGTGTATGAATGCTAATTATTGCTAAAGAAAATATTTTCACACTAGAATCAAAGCAGCAAATAAAATAAGAGAGAATTCCTAAATAAGAGTAAAAAAATTTGAAATTCCAAAAATAGGACTATCATGTGTTTTTATTCTCTAAATATGGATATTTCTGCCAGGTTTGGCATTAGTAGGTTTTAAACATGACACTTTTTTCCAAACTTGACATATTACTTCTATTTAGGGAATAAAAAATGTGATAGTCCTGTTTTGGAATTTCAAAACATTTTTACTCCTATTTAGGGCAATTTCTGATAAAATAAACCTAAAAGTTGTAAATGTGTATATAATATCTAAAATACATACTTTAAAATATGTATAGGCGTGTTTGCCATGTAACCACATGTCATACCAGTATATGATTTTGCCACATAAACTATAGGGAGAGTCCAACCTCACGAACTCCAGCCAGGCTCAAGACTAGCATGGTTAATCCTCCCTGACTCCATGAGCCTTGATTTGGCCCAAGCATATATGGTTAATCCTCCCTGACTCCATGAGCCTTGATTACCTTGTTCAGGTCCATTTTATTCTATTCGTTAGTTCGGTATTTCAAGTTGTTCATTGATCTTCCCTTGAACTGAGCCACAATCGACCTATTGGGCAATGTTTGAGTGGACAGTATACCATCACTACTATAATAAAGAAAAATATGTATCAATAGAGTGAATACGCTTATTCGTATTCACTAACAAGTTACAAAAATGACAAAATTTGCCTTTTATTAGGTATCTGTTGGAAAAATGTGTTAAAATTATATTAAATGATAATTTTGGGACAATTTTTTGAGTGGGGTCCACTTCCAATTTGGGTCGGGTTAAAGTGGTTTCGGATTGTCCTTGTTAAGGGCTACAATTCGATACGTGATACGCTCAAAACTGATAACGGGTGAATGAGAAATTGATTCTCGAAGTTTACCCGTTAGAATGGGAAAACTAGGAAAAAGGATGAGTTTCTAGTGTGTTATTTCCCACACCGGAAAACCCAAGAGATTTGCAACCCTTTATAAAGGGACTCCCCCCTTAAGGAGTTAAGATTCCTAAGGTGAAAGGCTCTCTCACGCGCGCAGGGGGTGCAAATCAAATCCCAAAATCGGAGAAGAAAAACCATGACTTGCGAGCGCGGGCGACCTGCGGACACGAATGTCGTCCAAAAATCTATCTCTGAAGAGATACGGTTAATTTTTGTTTTCTTCCCGAAATGTTTATTTTTTCCCAGAAATGCTGCCCGGACAGAACACGTCTTCTGCGCAACAGAACTGCTCAATTTTTTCCGAGAAATACGGTTAATTAATTCAACTGCATCATTCCTATTGATCCATGTGGACAAAGGTATGGTACCACATAATTTACCTTTCTTCTTTTCTTATTCTCTTCATCTCTTTCTTCTGATTTCTTGCTTCTTCCCTTTTCTACGTCTCCATCTTTCTACCGCCGTCTACGTGCAAACCCCTTCGAGCTCTGCCGCTGACGTCACCGTCGGTGTCGAGCTCTGCCGCCAGTGTCACCTTCGGTGTCGAGCTCTGCCGCCGGCGTCACCTTTGGTGTTAAGCTCTGCCGCCACCTTCTCCTTCACCGTCTGGTTTCCATCTAAGAGTAGCAAGGATTTTCTCTGGGTTTCTGTCAGGTTTCCTTCTCTTGGCATGAAAGAAGAGGCTAGAAGGTTGAGTGGCCGGATTAAATGAAGTGGAGCGGAGAAGAAAGAGAAAAAGGAAGAGGAAAAGGAAAAAAAAGGGAAAGGAGAACGGGGTGGGCAAGATTGCAAGAATGAAGGGAGGGGAGGTTGAATTGGGTGGGGGCGTGGGGTAGAAGCAGTGGAGAAGAAAGAGAGATTGAAGAATAGGGGAGAGGGAGTTGTAGGGAGATTGGAGAAGAAGGGGGGGAAACGGGGAATGAAGAAGGGAGGGAGTTGCAGGCGGCGGATGAATTTGGGGGGGGGGGCAACGGACCAGGACGTCCAAGCGGATGAATTGGGGGAGATGGCCGATGGGGGCGACGAATCAGAGGGAAAGAAAGGAAGAAGAAAGAAAGAAAATTAAAAGGGAAAAGAAGGGAAAAGAAAAAAAGGAAAAAGTTGAAAATTGGTTGAAATTTGAGACTATGTGTACCCATGATTGATAAAATAGTACATGGATTTAATTGACTTTTTCAAGATAGTACGTGGACTAATTTGACTGTTTTCCTATATATATATATATATATATATATATATATATATATATATATATATATATATATATATATATATATATATATATATATATATATATATAAGCAAAAAAAATCATTATTAAATTCATGAATCCACTTTTTTATATTCACTTTTTCCATGAATTAAATGTATAAAAAGGCAATGAAAACTGTGTTAGTCAAATGATAAGTTATTCAATTTGAACATTTTAGTAAGAGAAATTGTCATAAATGAGAGTAAAATTCATACTCCTCCGTCCCAAAATTAACTTCTTACTTTCCTTTTCGGACAGTCCCGAGATTAACTTCACACTTCAAAACTTTCTTTATTTGGCAAATAATCTACATCAAAAAAGTGTCAAACAGTGCCAAACGGTGCCAAACAGTGTCAAACAGTGTTTAAACAGTGCAAAACAGTGCACTCCACAGTAAAGTCAAATTTATTTTCTTAATCTGTGTGAATTCAAACTGTGAACTTAATTACGGGACGGAGGGAGTACAAAATTTCAAGGTATAAATGTGCTTTTCCATAAATAGAAGTAGTTAATACGTAGTACTATCGTAACACATACTCCGTAGTACGTATATTTTAAAATTCCATGTTATTTTTACTAAAAAAAAAAATACGATAGTACATGTTATTTTAAAATTCCGTAGTACGTATATTTTAAAATTCCATGTTAGTTTTTTTACTAAAATTCCATGTTTACTCTTGTATAAAATTGGGAGAAACTACAAGTATACGATAGTACATACTACATACACTTCAATTATACGTTAGAGATTAGAGAATAAACGTATCACTCAATTGCTCAACATTCATTTGAAACAAGGCTATGGTGACGCAGGGGAGGGGCTGGTTGAGGCAGGGATTGGGATGTGGTGATGGTGGTCGTGGCCAGGGATGGATTTAGGGGGGGGGGGGGGCGGGGGGGGCGACCGCCCCCCTTGGACATTCAATTTTTTTTACCATATATGTAATATTTTCATAAAACTTTCATAATTTAATTAGATTCGCCCCCTTAGCTTTTAATTTTCAAAATTAATATATACAGTCTTACATAATGTAATACTTAATTGGAGATTTAAAAGAAGAAACATCTAAAATAATTTACATAACTTAAACAAATAAACAATAGAGTAACTCGTTATTTAAGATTTAGGATACTTATTATATAAGAATTCCTAGTTTTGTAATGTTTAATTATCTTTATTAGATAACAAGTACTGGATTTCGTAAAACATATATCAAACAATATTAAATACCAGACACACTAATTACACAATTTTTAGATCACGTGAAATGAATCCAAAATATAAATATTTATAGACATTAGATTACATAATTCATTTACTTCTTGCTTTCTAAAAATAATTTATTGCATGGATAATAAACTCTAAATTATTATAGAATTAATAAAAATATTAAAATATAATATGCACCATATATATGTGTGTGTATGTGGTGCATATTATTCTAAAAATAACAATCACATACATATTAGTATACTACTATTGTAATATTAAGAAAACTTCTCATGAGTCATGACTCACGAACACCCTCCTTGGTGGACAAAAATTACAATTCAATAACCGATTCATGAGGTTAAACAATGTAGAAGTTATTAAAAATGTATTGGCTGATGTCTTTGTCATCGTCTAAACTTAGAATGTAATAGATTTAAATGTCATTCAGGATGTGCATGTATTAATATCATTTTTTGAATAAAAATAGCCGCATAGCTCTACAGTAGCGAAAAAAATTCGCCCCTCTATACTAGGGAAAAAAAATTCACCCCGTTACACTAACAAAAAAAAATTCACCTCCTACACTAACGAAAAATTTTGCCCCCCTTGACTCAGAATCCTGGATCCGTCCCTGGTCGTGGCGGTTGCCTGAGGTTTTGGCCGAAGGTGTTGGTCCGCGATAATCATTATCATACCAAAGTAACTCTAAATGGTCGAACCCGGAAATAATAATTGGTCAAGTTGGATAACATATCATGTCAAATTGGGTACATGTAACTGTTAGATTGGGTAATTGTAATTAACCAGTCGGGTAATTGTAACTGATGGATCGGGTAACCGTAATTGACCGGTCAGGTAACTATAACTGGAAGGTCGGATAACTATAACTGGCGGGTCAATTGACCAATTAGGTAATTGTAATTAGTAGTCGACTAGTGGGCGATTGAAACAGGAGAATCGGATAATTGGCGATTCAAATAACTATAAATATATAATCACTTGATCACCGTATGAATCAGCTGAGCTTTAACAAAGGTATAATAGTCCTCCTATTTTTACTCTCACTTTCTAAAAGTGAAAGAAAAAGTCAATTTTGTGTCAATTTTGTGATATTCTGGTCTTATGTCTTAACCCCAAATCAATACTCCGTAATATCTTCAGGAAACAAGCTAGATTTGTTATGAAGAACAATTTCATAGGATTTGCCAGAAGACTCTTCGTGGCAGTACGCCCTTTCCCTCTGGCGCCATACCACCATGGCCTCCGCCTTTACTGCACTCCCGCAGCAACCGCCGCCGCCTCTTCCTCTCCTGCAAACGACAAACTCTTTGTTGCCGGTAATCTCCTTTCTCGCGTTTAATATCTGTAACTTTTTTTCTGGAATTATGTTGTCTGATGAACCAGCGTTCATTGGTGAAGGTTTATCTTGGTCCGTGGACGAGAAGACATTAACAGACGCCTTTTCTGATTTCGGCCAAGTGACGGAAGGTGGGAAAAACATGTATGAGTTTTATCTGTTCGACGAAATGTCTCACTGACTCTTTCAAGTTTCACCATTAATGGAACTGCATGGTTTCAGCTTTCTACAGCATTTTAATTAGCAGTATATAAATGCGCTCAGTATTAGATCAATTTTTTGTCTGTAGAATTATATACTCCGTACTAACTAGTGTATGAATTGACTACTAGTGAGGATAATGTATGATAAAGATACTGGCAGATCAAGAGGTTTTGGGTTTGTGTATTTCTCTAAAGAAGAGGAGGCCAAAAATGCTAAAGATGCCATGGATGGGAGGGTATACATTACATTCTGCTTATGATTGAATTTATCCATTTTATTGGTGGTAATTAGCCATTTTTTTGGACTGGAAGTGGCTGTTCTAACTTCTAACTCCTAAACCATATTTGTTCACCCTTTAATCCTCAGGCTTTTCTTGGTCGTCCATTGAGGATTAGCTTTGCGCTTGAAAAGGTTCGCGGTGCTCCTGTTGTTGTCCCTCGGCTTAGAAGCATTGTAAATGGTGTTCGGAGGGATCATTGAGATTTTAGCACTGGTCTAGGTAATCCAAGTTTGGTAAAAGAACTGTAAAATTACAAATTTTGAATATACTTCTATAAATATGTTACTCTTGTGGCAAACCGCGGATTTAGATTTTGGGGTTTTTACGTCAATTTGTAGTTGTAAAAACGCCTTTGGTTGGAAACTGCTGTGGTAAAATGACAGGTTTTAACCAGTAATTTTCCTACATTCCAAGGTTAGTCGAATCATGATGAAATCCTAATATTATTACTTTTAGGTCTTTCACTAAATCACTCTTTTGCTTATTCACAGAATAGCTTATATTCTGTGGCATTAAATCATTCATGAGCTTACACATTTTGATCTCGTTGAGCATTTTCGAGAAATGGAAGCAAACAAAAGGAACATTCAGAAGCACGACCACAAATCGATTTCCAGTGATCATTCTTAGAACATAAAGAAAGCTCTCCAAACTTTGGAGTGACACAATGGAAATCTGAAAGGGTTTTGTGCTGTTTGTAACCGTTTTTTCAACGTCAGCTATTTAACTTCATCAGTCTATTTTTACTATTTCACAATTTAGCGTGTGAAACCGAAAGATTAGTAAAAAAGATGATTGATAAGCAAGTAAGCAAAAAAAAAAAAAACAGGTTACCATGAAGCCCTAGCGCCGCATTGTCAACACCTTCAACTATACCTTAGCTGCCGCAACCCCTATAACCCTAGACACTGATACCACCACCGTGTAACCCTACTTGTCGCCCACTTACTCTGTAACTCTAGCCACCCACCCCACCCTATAACACTAGCTATTCACCCCACTCTATAACCCTAGTCGCTGCTGCACGTGGAAGGCTTAGTCGTCGCATCGTTACTGACAAATAGAAGCATCAAAGTGGAGGGAGTATGTCGTCATTGTCATCTTGTATGGTTTACAAAGAACTGTTGTCCCCCGCGATCTAAATTCTTTGTTGCTAATGCCTAATGGAGTATCCATTATTGTCGGTTGAGAAGATGACCACACCATCCAAGTGTATCCATCAAAAAGGGGAGCAATGTCAAAGTTGAAGCCGTTGTCGAAGTGTTTGCTTTGAAGAAGAGAGTCATCATCGTAATTGCCTGGTCGATGAATGAAGCACTGGACGTCCATTGTTGATTGGAGAAGAAAGGAGCGTACTAAGGTTGAAACACAGCCAGTGAAGTGTTTTATTTGATGCCACTTGAGACATTTCAAATATTTTTAATAATTTATTTATTTGGATAGCAGTGCCTTAATTTTATGGGAGGTCTATTTGAACACTATAATTATATATGAAATATTAAAATAAACTGAAATCAAAAGCGTACTTTAGACTCAAACTCAAAACCCAAACTCTCTCTAGACTCAAAATCCAAGGATCATCTCTCTATGATCAGACATAGGATTAATAACTCCCAAATGAGAAGACCAATTCGATACCCTGTGAGGGTTTTGAAAACAAAGATGGCTTTTGGAGCCACAAAGCTCCTGATTGGGGTGTTAGGCACCCTAACAACACAACTAACTTCACTGCATCCCAAATCTATTAATATCTAAAGGAGCAGTTTTTTTTGTGAATAGTGTTCCCGCCTGAAACTCTCAACATCAAAAGAAACAGTAAAAATGAATGAAAAAAGAAATCACAAATAATACAAAATGCTCATGATCGAGAAATATGGCGTGTAGGGTTGAAAGTTTGGGGTTGCACAGTGTGTACACATGGAAGAAACAGTAAAAATGAATAAAAAAGAAATCACAAATATTACAAAATGCTCATGACCGAGAGATGTGGCGTGTAGGGTTGAAAGTCTGAGGTTGCACAGTGTACACATGGGTCTGCACAGTCGAATTATGTTTCGTGTGTTCCTATTTGTCCAAAAGGGAGGTGCATACTGTTGATGGTGAGTCACTATTTGAATTGTTTAGTTTTATTGGTTGAACTGGGTGGTGAGCACAGTGACTAAGATTTGGTGCATCTCATTCCCAGCCAGAAGAAGCTCCCCTATAAAAGCAAGAGAAGCACATCCATTACCACATCAAACTGTAATAGCAAAAGAAGTAATATATTTCTGTCATGGAACAATACAAAGAATGCATAGGAGATGAAAATCAGAATTGTTAAGGTGGGGATGTGGTCTCTTATAAGCCTAATTATATATGTTGAATCTCTAGACATGCTTCTCTATAATGAAGATTTTTTTATTTTTTTTTGTATATGCTATGTTAATTTACTCTAACGTTCATTAACTTATTTATTAATCATGACTTTTACGCCATGTCTTAACCACTGTTTTTGTTGGCACAACGGACTAAAATTCCCGCACATGCCTATCACAAAAAAAACTTGATTATTTGATTATGGAAGGTGGTGTATGTGATGTCAAGAACTTTCTGATGAAAGAAAGCAATATGTGTTTCTGAAGGTCCAAGTACAATGCCTGCAATTAGCAAGAATATTTATGACTTTATTTATGAGTTTATTGTTCAACAATCTGCATCATTTATGATTAATTATATCTATCTTTTTGTATATCTTAAGATTTTAGGGAGAATATTCTAAGAAAGTTTATTTCTATCAATGCTAGAAGATTCACAATGAGCTGAATGTTATTCAGGATGTGAGCTTTATACAAATATATAAATACAAGTTAGTTTTAGCCAAATACAGTACACAAAAATGCATTCAAGCAAAAAACTTCAACATTGGTATGGTGTCATTCAAAGTTAAGGTTTTTACTAAGAAATGCACATTTATTGGAGGAAAAGGTTTTTAAGCATTCAAGATATTTATTAATAGTTATGAATTTATGGTGCTGTCAAGACATGTAATTACTAATGTATTTACAGTGAGAGATAGGATATGTACATGTATACAAACCCATATATGTAAAATACAAATAAAATAGATATGTTCTACCTGGATAGCTTAATCCAGCCACAAGATTGCTTATTTCAAGTCAATCCCTTTTGGCGGACTATCCACTAGAAGTTCCTGCATTCAATTTCAAGTAGTTAAATATGAAATGAAAGATATTAACCCAAGTCTCAAATTACTCACCAGTTAACATGGCCAGTTCAAATAGGTGCTTGGATTTTATTCAAAGATACGTCCCATGGGTTGAAATCAAGCTTTAATATTTTAGAAAACTATATAAATCATTTCTGGTGATCACAATAAAAATACTTTGATGTATTCGTATCTTTAGCACACTGTACAAAACAATATTTTTAAGTTTGGTTGAATAATCTTTATCCATATGAAAACTTAGTTTTGAAGTATCAAATTAAATACAGTATTGTATATAATGCTAAATGTGAACTACAGGGGAAATGTTGAAATTTGCACTCTTTGGGGAGGCATGGTAGAGATGCTATATTGACCTATAAGCTCATTGGCCCAGATCCTATCCTTTTATTTCTTCAGTGTTGCAAGGCAAGAGAGTATCAATGTTGTTTTTTAGTCATATCTAAACAGAATCAGCATTTGAAGATCATATCTACAGTGGGAAGTTGTCCCTGGCAACAAGTATCCTCTTAAGAAAATAGAAGAGGAGTGTAACTTCTTCTTAACAGATTATTACGGAGTATTTGGTTAATACAAATACTAATATGAAGTAAAACATTCCATAGTTATAATAGAATAACTAGATGCATACCGTGAACTCCAGATGATGTCCTACATTTCCTACTTCTGGGTCGTTATAATCTCTTTGCAACACAATTTATAAAAGAGTGATCGTCTTTGGCATAAATTATTTGTAGATGCTCCAAAATAAAGACAAACATGTTATTGATTGTAAGTTTGTAACTTAAACCATGTGTAAACGTACAAACTCCACAACAATAGAGTTTAAGAGGGGTTCTTTAGCTCTTCTAACGTCGATAAAAAGACATTTTATATAATCTAAATATTACTTTTTTTGAATTGTTTAGTGTAGTTAGTCTTGGTTCTATCCAATATCTGCAACAGCTTATTTAAAACAATGTGTAATTTGTGGGCTTGCAAAATTAAACACATAATATAACTCAATATGTTTAAAACAGTTTATCATTTTACCTAGATTGATTTTTTACTATAAATTAAATAAAGTCTGTTTCTGTATAGTTGGGTGAATTTGTATTTATTTCAATTTAATAAATAGTGGTTATAACTTAGTTTTGTTGTTCTCCAAAAAGTGTAAAAAAACGGATTTCAAATTCATGTAAAAGTACTAGAATTAGAAAGTTAGCAAAAAATACACCATAAAAAATGACTTACAGATGTGGTGATTTCATTCACTTCCAGCTTTGTCTTGCCAGATTTAGCCGGTGAGAGTGTTTATGGCTTCTTCGGAACATTATTAGAGGTTTGGGTGTGTGGAGATGCCAAAGGTTGCCGTTGGAAGAGAGTCAGCAAGGGATAAAACCATGGCATGGTGGAGACTAAGGAAGAGAGTCAGCAAGAAAATCGTTGGAGAAGAGGGTTGGCCTGAACTATCAAGGGAATCGTTCTCGAAGAAGTCATGGCCGCTTCCTGTCATGAATTAGATGCTAAGGATGAAGAGGGAGCGGTGGGGGGCCATAATCAACTGTAGGGATTGGGAGGGCCGAGGGTGATAGCAGCAGTGGAGAGACGCTTGGGTACCAGTAGAACGATGATTGGAATTCATATTACTAGGGTAAATTGTTTGGGTTGGGGTCCTTCATACATAAATGGGCTGGGCCTATATATATACACACAAAAATATGATGTAAAAAATTAATTCTTTTTTATGAAAATTATTTAATCCTTAAATTAGAGTTTTGACCTCAATTAGAAAAAAAGATCACGTCAACACATGATTAATTAGTCGGATTTCAAGATGATGTATTAAAGTTGGGATCAGTCTGTCAGTGTCGTGTGTTTGATAATATAAAAAATTACCCATAAAATGTCGAGTTGTAAAAATTAGAGATCGGAAATTATAAAGACATAACATATTTTCACATATCTGCACACCCCCCGATTTGCCAGGTTACATCAGCAATTCGTCTAAATATTGTAATTCGTATAGATAAAGACATAACACATTTTCACATATTGCACCCCCCGATTTGCCAGGTTACATCAGCAATTCGTCTAAATAATGCAATTCGTATACATAAAGACATAACACATTTTCACATATCTGCACCCCCTGATTTGCCAGGTTACATCAGCAATTCGTCTAAATAATGCAATTCGTATAGATAAAGACATAACACATTTTCACATATCGGCACCCCCCTGATTTGCCAGGTTACATCAGCAATTCGTCTAAATAATGCAATTCATATAGATAAAGACATAACACATTTTCACATATCGGCACCCCCCCTGATTTGCCAGGTTACATCAGCAATTCGTCTAAATAATGCAATTCATATAGATAAAGACATAACACATTTTCACATATCTGCACCCCCCTGATTTGCCAGGTTACATCAGCAATTCGTCTAAATAATGCAATTCGTATAGATAAAGACATAACACATTTTCACGCATCTGCACACCCCCCTGATTTGCCAGGTTACATCAGCAATTCGTCTAAATAATACAATTCGTATAGGTAAAGACATCACACATTTTCACATATCTGCACATCCTCTGGTTTGCCAGGTCATCAACAATTCATCTAAATAATGCAATTCCAAAAATCTTATTTTGAAAATTTATACCTTCAGTTAACATATATAGACCCTTGATTTTGGCAATAAAAAACATGACAATCTTATTTTGGAATTCTCAAACTTATTTACTCATATTCCAAAATAGGCGTAATTAATGTCAAGTTTGAAAAATATTGTCATGCTTAAGGTCCAATTTTGGAATACATAATTTTTTTGTCCTATTTAGTTAATTTCCCTTTTAACAAGGGTTAATGCTAGACAGAAGGTATAAAGAAGTGTTTCATAAAATTTGCCATGAAATGTAATTTGTTTTCAAATGATGTTTATATTGCGTGTTACTTACTATTTTGTGGGATATAAAAAATAATGTACTACTCTGTAATCATTAGTAAATTGTATTTTATATGTTTCATTTACGTCAAGTTTTATTATTGTATATAGTATAATTCTAAACAATTCAATTAAAATTACAAGTTTGTTTATTTTTTAATTAAAATATTGGCTAATGTTAATTATACCTGCGAAATTTCACCAATCGTGCATCGCACGGGTATTGATGAAGAAGGAACCACTAACAAGACTCAGAATGTTGTATTCAAAAAGTGTTCAACAATGTTTAGAG